TCCTGGTCGCCAGATACTGCCGGAGACTGCGGTGGCCTCCTCTGGCTTTGCACCGCTTTCAGGCCTCTTGCTTTGTACAGTTTGCTTTGCGCGCACGAGACCTTCACTACGGTGGAGTTCCAGTTTCCCTGAGTCTCCGGATAGGAGCAACTTCATTGGTGAGGTCTATTAGGTTCCGCCTAATCACCTCCCATTGGGATGGAACGGAACTCGGTTCCACCGTCCAGTTCAAGGACGACGCTTTCCTAATACGTTCTACTAGGTTTATTCGGCTGAAGTTCCTTCCCCTCTTGTCGGGCACCCAGGTCCCTTCTAGTGAGTACGATAGGCGGACCACCGCATGGTTGCTCTTCTTTAACGGTGCTTCCGTTTCAATCCTGTGGATCTCGTTCGGGCACCGTCCAATGATTAGGTCCAATATTGACCCAGCCTGGTCAGCTCTCCATCTTGTTTTGCTGGCCTACATGCTGCACTATTGCATGTTCTTGGAGCGCAGAAGTCAGACGGTACCCAAATGACCCTCTTGGAGCCATCCAGGTCTGCCAGTTTATCTCTGGAGCATTAAAACTGCCTATTACAGGAAGCTTAAATGATCCCCTCGGTACGTCCGTTATGAACTGTAGCAGTTCTTTGTCCTCGTCTACGTTGGAGGACGGTCCGCGATATGCACAGGCTATGGATAGCCCAATGCTCCTTTCTTTTAATTGGGTTTCAAGTGTCTGTACATTACACGTAACCAGTTGCTTGCCCTCCTTGCAGTCGTAGTGATCTGTTATGAACAGTATCACTCCTCCACCAATCCTGCCGTCGTCTCTGTCTACCCTGCAGGTGATGAAGTTGGGTGAGGCTAGCTGACTGACTCGGTCATCTTTTTGCAACCAAGTCTGAGTAACTGTGATCGCGTCGGCAGTATGCAGCCATGCTCTCAGTTCATATCATTTGTTCATTTTCGCCGCATTGCATATTTACGAAATCTTTCGTGCCCGTTTGGAAATTACGTTCTTACACTCTGTACTATTACTTCTTCTTTCCATTGTCACTTTTATATTGTTGCACATTTGATCATGCACGCTAGCATGCTTCACGGGTTTCGTGAAATATACCATTGTTATTATTATTAATATTATCTGGTTGGTGGTTTCACCATAGACATGACCACCAGAGAGTGTCCCTAAAAGCCGGTACCTGTCTGGTCGAAGTTTGTTTATCAACACCCTTCTAGGGAAAAGCTGATTCACTGATTCTTCAACCGACAGTTTCGCAACGGCAGTTTTCTCTTCTTACCTCTTGCTCTTCTCCAAGTTTCCTCATTGGTCCATTCAAGCTGGACGTGCTAAACAAATCACGGACCAGAAGTACCTTAACCCTATGCTGGCGACTAGCATCAGGATAGGTTCAGTTTCCAATCAGTCCAGTATAACTGAGGACTATCAGGACATGGTTACATAACCATGGCATACTTATCAGAACCACCAAGGTTTTGATATCAAGTAGCGACGTGACCCCTCGATTAATACAAAAAATAGACCACCGTTAATCTTTTTCCTATAACATAAGGACTCTTCTAATCTACCGGACACCATCAAGTTTACCATCGAGATTTAGCATGTATCGCCATTATTTAGCGATAGCGATCTCTCAGGGCTAGTTTCTTTATTAAATATAGTAACTTGGACATTTTCAGGCTTAAGTTTTGCTTTAACGGTTATCGTGCTTTTACTGAGTTCGAAAAGACCGCACCGATACAATTCCCCACGGTGAGCTCTATATCGCACGCTTTCCTTGCATTGGTCAGATCTACTTTCAGGTTTCCGCTGCCGCTGCTAAAATAACATCCTGAACATAGCCAAACTTACTTCCAGCTGTTCCGAATTTTCAGATTATAACGTTTTCATAATCCCAATCTTTGTTTCTGTTTCCTCGTGGAAGGGATATCCAGAACGAAAATGAGCAAGCATTAGTGACAGGTTCTGACAAACATCAGCAACCACCGAGTCACTAAAATTCCAGACAACACTTTCCAACACGTCCTTCTTTTGAAAGCTTTTCATTATGATCCTGGTTGGTATATCTGTCCGGTTTGTGTTCGGAATGCATCGCCGAGGGGATTTCTCTTTCATACCCATCGATGGTATTTCTCGCTGCGGTTCTTGTACACTGGTTTCAACATCCTCCCGAGCAGTATTTGGATTTTCTATTTGTTCGTTTCCGTTAATATTCTCTTCTATTTTCCGCAAATGAACTCTATTCTTCCGTATTACCCGTTTATCACAGCGCACTAGGTACGATTTTGTTTGCTCGCGAAATCACTTCTCCCCTCCCTCACACCTCCATTGTTTCCAGTGGTTGTACCCAAACCGTGTCTCCTGATCTGAGTGAGCTCAGAGGTTTACTGTTGCAGTCGTCATACCTCTTATGTTGCGCCATGCGTTTCTTTAGCCTTGACTGTATGACTATTGATAGCTTAGTCTGTGGTTGTGGTAACTCATCGCCAATGGGTAGAGCCGTGCTTGTGCCTCTGCCAAATAAAGTTGGCTCTGGCTGGTTCCCATGTTGGCCGATGGTATGTTCCGTAACTCGAGCAGAGCCATTATTGTGTCGCTACCATCCGCGCCGCATTTCCTAATACGCTTCTTTGCCTGTTTGACTGTGCCTTCTGGTTTACCATTGGACTGACTGTGGTAGGGGCTAGTAACTCGGTGCTCAAAGTGCCATCTTTCACTGAATTTCTGGAATTCGGTACTACGAAATTGGGGATCACCATCGGAAATCACCTATAGTGGTTGTAGTAATCGGAATTGTATTGAACATAGGAACGTGAGAACCCGTACTGTAATACTCAGAACTGGATTGGCTCCAACCCGAACTGCGGACACCAAAGCAATCCACGGAGAAATGATAGCAGCAAATGCCAATGTTTATTGATAGACATAGAGCATGTTTCATAGAAAGCAATAGGTCATATCATTGATTGAAGGACCATTATCCAATCACGTAACCATTCCCGCAGACGCTGCACATGTAGTATTTGTAATGTAGTATTCGCCCGGTATTCCATTGGTCCAGTTTCCTGAATTTTGATTGGATGACATGAAGCTGTACCTGGTCGTACTTGGAATGCGGTCACGCTTGTCTGGATCACCACAGTGGTATTGCGTGTCGGGCAAAATGAATGAGAAGTATATCGGTGATTTCCGCCGACGTGCTGAATTGCAGTAAATCGTCTTCGAAAAAGCCACTGTAGTAATTAACAGTTATCAAGTAGTTGTCTTTCCCTTGATGAAAAATATCCAGCGCTACCATCCGCCAAGGTCTATCAGGTATTGTACGCATGTTCATAGGTCCCTTCGTTTGTCGTTGATCAAACTGCCTACAAAATCCACATTTAGTAATCAACTGTTTTATCGGTTCTGACATACCCGGCCAATAATGTCTCCCTGGTTCGACTGAGGCATCCGTTGATACCGACGTGCGAGCATTGTATCAAACGCAATAAGTTTGGCTGAATCGCCTTCGACACTACCAGCCTTTCACCATGAAAACTCAGTTAATCGTAAACGGTTAGTTCATCTCGGAATTTTAAGTAGAGCAATACGTTCATCGGGAGGGCTTTTCTTGTTTTCTGGTCAACCGCGAGTAAATTCTTGCATGCTTCGATCGCCAATAGTAGCATTTCTCCAGCTGCGTCACCACCAATGCAAGGTTCACGGATTTCAATTTTTGTTCCTGTCCTGTTCGGACAGTGTGGCTCGTGATAAAGTGTCTGCCACAAACATGCGTTTACGTTGTTCGTAATGCAGCCGATAATTTTATTTCTGTAAACGTATTAGCATCGATTGTGATCTCCTTGGTGCTCGATGGAGTGGTTTATCCACAATCATGATCAGTGGTTTTTGATCCGAGTATACGTGCGTGAGTCGACCAATTGGGTAGTCATTGAATTTCTGCAGCGCATACACGATTGCTAGCATCTCTTTCTCAATCTGGGTATCTTTGTTCACAGGCCGTCAGTGTCCTACTCCGGTAATCCAATGGACCCTTATCTTGAAGCAGCAGGGCACCTAATCCGATTTGACTGCTGTCAAATTGTATGCTCAGAGATGCATTGGGATCGAAAGAAGCCAGCCCTGAGACTCTAACAATGAGTTGCCTGACGCGATCAAAAGCTGCCTGTTGTTCTTGTGTTCAAAGCCACGGTTCTTCTTTATGCGTCAAACGTCGAATCGGTTCCGCTATTTCGGGTAGAAATATGTTGAGATAGCTTGTCATTCCGTTGAATCGGGATACGCCTTTGGCATAGGTTCGGAGAGACATTTCTACAATCGCTTTTACCTTTTCCGAGTCCGGTTTGATCCCCTCACTTGTAAGTATGTGACCGTGAAAGCTGACTTCCGATTGACAAAAGATTAGCTTGACTTGTTTCAGCCTGATTCCGTCTCGTATACATGTGATAATCTGTACTTGGTAACGGAAATCGAATCGCAATAATCCGCGCAGTTAAGGTCCAACCGAACTAGTACGCATTATGAAATAGAACACCAGAATATTAGAAGTAGAATTATATTACGCGCGGTCAGATAGATTGATCTGTCGTCCAGTTCTAAATGCCAAAACACAGAGGTCAAATCCACCTTCGTGAAGCACCGTGCATTAACTAATTTCGGTAGAATATCGTCAAAAATGGGTAAAATGAAGTGCTTCCATCTTAACTTCTTGTTAAACGGCTTCGGATTGATATGAATCCTCAGCTACTCAGACTTTTTCCTCACCACCACAACCTGAATTATCCAATTCGTTTGTTCTCCAAGACGCCCTTTGCAATAAGGTGCAAGAATTTCTCTCTAACTCTATGTAGGATCCGCCGCGTCGGTAAAACAACGGGCTTGACTGCGTCGTTTATAAGAAGTTAGACAATTCCTGGAAACTTTCCCAGTTCTCCGTCGAAAACAGAGGCATACTTTTCAGGTAGTATTCAATGACTATACATACGCGACGAACAAATGAATCTTAGTTTAGGGATATCAAACCAAGACGCTCGATGGAATTCTACCCAAGGTTTGGAACATAACCCGACTCCACCACGACAAAAGTCACAACGGAAGAAACGCCGTTTTTTTGGATTCTTCAGTGTAATGGTGGTTTCTCCTTTCGGCTCCACGTTGGCACCGTTCCACATAACTACCCAGGTAGCACAACGTAGCGTATCGATCGGTTACAAAGAGCTATTTATGAGCTACATCAGCAGTATTTTTATTCAACATTAATTTACCTTTAAAATATATTCATAATATTTGTTTTTGGTTTGAAGGCTCATTTTCATTCTTAAATTAATCAAAGAGCTTGTATTTTTGGAGCCAAACTTCCCTGATTTTAATTTTAATTTACCTCAAGAATTGATAGTTTGAGTGGCTCTTACCTTGTGTTCGGTTGTTGTTCGCTGCTGCTTTGTGGAAGTTCTTATTTTTAAACGTCCATCGGATTGTAAGTAACATTTTGTGATACATTTATTTCATTATTATTGCCTTCGGTTCTATTATTAACTTTTTTCCGAGAATTATTTTAGTAATCATACATGTAATGCATGTAATTTTATTCAGTTTCTTAAAATGCCATCCACATCTCGCTGAACATTTTTATCTCAGCAAAGGTTGCAATAAGTTAAGTGTCCTGTTTGTGGCGGGGGGAGNGCAAGTTTTTATGAACACTGAACAAGGTGTCCAAGATCCGTAGGTAAATTAATTGTGAAGCATGTATTTTATTCGTAATACATTGTCTTTCACAATGCAGCCGATTTCCTTCAATGTAAATTCGACGTGAAGTAAATGGAAGAATCGGAACAAAATTTGTTAGATGGCAGTGCATACGACAAATTTGTAGGTTTGAGTTACATTATATTCCGAGTGCTTAGGTGAAACAATTGATGCAATATATGGCATATACAGCGAAACATGCCAGGTGTTATTGGTAAGTAATTATAATTAGATATACATTACTTTAATAGACGCTATTCGAACAAACCCCGGATTTATTGATGTTTCAATGGATTGTGTTGCACGGGAAATACACAGATGGTTCAGAAATACGGCGGACGGAATTATCGCCAGAAAATTGCGACAGAAAAGTACTACACAGCAAATGTAATATGCTTCTTACTTTTATAATATATGTATGTCAGCGAATAAATAGTCTTCTGTAATACGTTCAATTATCTGCATGAAAGCCTCTCATTATAGTAGAAGATTGTTTGAAGATACTTTGGTGATCCAGGCCTACACGATGGCGCCTACCCTGGAGCGGCGCGTTACAGTTTCAGGACATTAGCGATCGATCAAGTTTGAATGCTGACGTCAATAACACGTGCATAGCTTCTGAATACACGTCATTGGTGGATGATGCCAGCCAATCCAAGACAATGCAGACAGAAGCAAGATTATGTAAGCAGTACTGCAATCCAATTGGTGGAAGCCCAGGTAGCCAATAATCTTCTTCTGCACATATTATTTAATAATCTTTATTCCTTCCAATAAACGAACTACTTAATGCCTGTCCTCTGGCCTTTTCCTCGCTTCTCGTTCTCGTGGGACATTGCGAATCTGTGTCATTGTGGTCCAGTGCTTCTGCATCCGGTCCGTGATGGTTGATTATCGATTCGGGTCCTGTAATTCATATTGCGTGGTTGGTGTTCCGAATTCCGTGCGTATTAGTACGACTACTACAATCATTACAGATACCTTCTAATTAGGATCAACATGATACAGTAGGGGTGAGGGAAGCGAAAAGGGATTTATTCAATTGGTCAATAAAGTGCATTGTAATCATTTCAAAACATGTGCTTAAGCCCATTACGAGACAGTAATACCGCGAAAAGGAATTAGAAAACAGAGACGGGAATCTTGAAACGGAATTTTCAAAAGTGTGGAACACTTGAATGACTTGCGGTCGCTCAAGTTGTGCGCTCTCGGTTTAATCGAAATATTTCTGCGAAATCTCGTCGTACATCGTCGAGTCTACATTCATTCGATCCAGTTCTGTGAGCTCTATCTTGTGATATCATTCCACTGGAAGTATTCTGTTTACGTCTCTTTATTGAGCCGTTTTTCTGTTTTCATCGAAGCTTTGGGATTTACTCACGCGTGCAAAATTGTGCAATTTTATTCTCTGTGTCAATATTGTGATATCGCTCTAAAGGTAATTCAACAACCTTTCCAACGAGCCCCGATTGAGCCTTCTAAGTTCAATTTCAAGCATTCTACGGATATATTTGTGCAGCTCAGTGCTTCCACCCGCAGTCAATCTTGTGTTTGTTCCACTGTGGATCGATATTCCGCCGTGACCTTTTTCATTGTTCTGTGTCCGTGTGACCTCTACTTATCCGGACGAGCGAGCAGCCGAGACAACTCTCGCTTCACGTGACCTTTCATACTTCGTCAGTCTCACCGTTCGCTAAAGTGCAAAAATGGGACGTCGCATAGTCTCAACAAGTGCCGCACCAGGTGTTTCGACGACATCGGAAGTATGCGGCCTACGGAGTTGTAAGAAAGAAGTTAAAACGGGGATATTTTGCACACTGCCAGAAACACTTTCACCGTTCATGTGCCAAACTCTCGGTAAAACAGGTAAAACAGTTAGCCACCCAGCCAGAACGTATTTGGTTCTGTACAGAATGTGCGGAAATCCCGATCGTAAAAGGCATCACCTGTATCAAACACAAATACGAGAGGCTTTTGTCAGCAGCCGAAGAAAGAGCGAACTCAAAAATCGCCACACTTGAAGCAAAATTAGTGAACTTAAGTTCACAGATCACACCAGCTAGCCCGATCCCAAAACCTAGCAAACGACCCAAATGCTCAACTCAAGTGATCACCCCACAGCAGGCGACGCACACGTCCGAACTGAGCGCCAGTGTTTCCCTGCCAGATGCATCAACTCCGATTTGTCCTGACTCAGCGGCTACACCGCGTCGCAAAGGAAGGAAGAAAAGTGGGATGGATGCTTCTGTGATAGTTGCCGAGGACTCGAAGAGCTCGACCGAAAATTCACTACCGACGAATAACACCACAGCACAGGCAAATAAGGAAGGAGGACCGCCTGTGGAGTCCCTGCCGTCCGCCGCATCGGAGACCTCGGAGGGATGGACGAAAATGGGGAGTGCTGCCAAACGCAATGTCCCTCAGCGTAACCAGTGCTTTCTAGCACTAAACCTACCTGAGGCCCCAGCGGGGTCTGGACAGGAGAGACTCAATCACGATCTCCTCCTGTTGAGATCCATTCTTGAGAAAGTATTCAAGGGTGAAGAAAACGTAGCCAATGATATCAAAATGAAGGCAGCATTTCGCCTGGGTAAAGTAAAGAACAGTGGCCTTCCTCGCCCCCTGAAGGTGGTCCTCGGAGCCAAGACTCAAACCGAGGAGGTGTTCCGCCGATCATGCCGTCTGAAAGGCGACCCGGTGCGACTGTTGTGTGATCTG